GCAGTTGCTCTACTCAGAACTCAAGAACAGAAAACGGAATGTTGGAGGACAGGAAAAGAGATTTAAAGATGGACTCATAGCCAACCTTAAAATCTCTGGCATAGACACTGAGAACTGGGAAGCCCTGGCCCTTGAGCGCTCCAGCTGGAGGTCAGCTGTGACCAGCAGTGCTGCAGAATTCGAGGAGGCACAAGTGGAGGGTGAAAGAGAGAAACGTGCCAGGAGGAAGGCGCGTCAAGCCAACCCCAACCGGGACCGCCTTCCACCTGGAAACCAATGCCCTCACTGCGGAAGAAGATGCAGAGCAAGAATAGGGCTCCACGGCCACATACGGACCCACAAGGAAATCCATAAGGGAAGTCCATCTTACTCGTCCAACGAGGGATTGCCTAAGTAAGTAAGTTATTTAGGTCTAAGGGAAGATCTAAGTCTGTAATGTTTAATAAGTAATATTCCGGTTTTCTTAGAAATGAAGTTCTTTACTGCTGGTAGATGGCATATAACTCCAATGATTCATTTGGGCCACAGAGATGTGCCTCTCTTTGTACTCCGTCTCTGCGATTTTCTTGCAGCAACTGAGGATATGGCCAGGATTATTATTATTATTATTATTATTATTATTATTATTATTATTATCCCACCCTATCTGATAGGGGACTCATTATCAGCATTATGCAGAGGTATCCCATAGTAATAATAATAATAATAATAATAATAATAATAATAATAATAACAACAACAAATACCATCTGCCTGTGACAAAGAACTGGTGGGATTACAAGCCTGAAAAAGTTACAGAAATGAACACGTCAAACTACTCTTGAGACTTCCAAATTCAGGCAGACAGAGTTTTGGAGCACAATGCTCCTGACCTCACGGTTGTGTTAAAAAACCAAGTATGGATCATAGATGTTGCAATCCCAGATGACAGCAGGATTGAAGAGAAAGAACTGGAAAAGCTGACACAATGTGAGGATTTAAAGATTGAACCTCAAAGACTCTGGCAGAACCCAGTCAAGGTGGTCCCAGTGGTGATCGGCACACAGGGTGCAGTGCCTCAAGACCTTGGCTTGCACTTAAACACAATTGGCGCTGATAAAATTACCATTCACTAGCTGCAGAAGGCCACCTTAATGGGATCTGCATGCATTATTCGCCGATACATCACACAGTCCTAGTTCAGCAGCTCAGTGATTTAATCCACTGCACCACCAGAGGCCCTAACAACAACAACAACAACAAAAGGTCATCTTACTGGGATATGTACACTATATTCGCTGATACATCACATAGTCCTAGACACTTGGGAAGTGTCCGACGTGTGATCCAATATAACAGCCAGCGGAGTGTCTGCTGTGGACTCATCTTGTTGTGATTACCGGGCCCAATTTAAGGTGCTGGTGTTATCCTACAAAGCCCTAAACGGTTCCGGCCCAAAATACCTTGCAGACCGCATCTCGGCCTACGAGCCCACGAGGACCTTGAGATCATCCGGGGAGGCCCTTCTCTCGGTCCCACCTGCCTCACAGGCACGCCTGGCGGGGACGAGAGAGCGGGCCTTCTCGGTGGTGGCCCCCCGGCTGTGGAACACCCTCCCTGCTGAAGTGAGACAGGCGCCCTCTTTGATGGCCTTCCGTAGAAGCCTGAAGACATGGCTCTTCGAGCAGGCCTTCAACTGAGTGTATCATTGGAACGACATTGGAACGGACTATGACCTTGAAATCGAAATTGACTATGACCCCAGGACTTGACGAAGCGGATTTTTAGCATAAGTATATGTTATGTAGTAGTAGTTTGTTGTGTATTTTCGTGAATCACTGTACATTGTCTTTCCATGTTGTTGTTCACCGCCACGAGTCGCCCTGTGGGCTGAGAGTGGCGGTCAATAAGTGCAAGAAATAAATAAATAATAAATAAATTATTATTATTATTATTATTGTTGTTGTTGTTGTTGTTGTTGTAATTTGTGTGCGTGTGTGTATACTAGCTAAATCCGACCATGCTTCGCTGTGACTCAGTCTGATATGAAATGAATGAGATAGTAAACAAAAGTATTGTTGTGAACATAGATTCACCAAGAGAAGACATCATTCAGCTCAATACCCTGCCTTGCGTTACTGTGTCTATGTGGAATGAAAGAAAAAGAGTTTTTAACATAAATATTTTTTAATGTAAAGCAAGTGGATTGACTACCTTTTTGGTTTGTCCGTTTTCTGCATAAACATGAAGATCTGGCAGTTTCCCGACTGGCGTATGTGACGTATACGCGCCCCTGAAAGAAGCAATTGTTTTCTGAATTCTCACTGAACACTTGCAGAGATTTCCCTCACACTTTACTGATAGTCATAGCGAACACAATGGAGTCGTTAGCATTTGAACGCCATGTCCGTCGGAATGAGTGGTATGCCTATAGCAACCAAACACAGCTCAGGTTCATTTGTTATACTGCTGAGGTAAAATGACAGCTGCTCTGTGATTGGTTGGTACTTCTTATGCTGCTGAGGTAAAAGGAAAACTGTGCTGTGATTGGCTGTTATTTCTTCTACTGCTGAGGTAAAATAGAAGCTGCTTATTGATTGCTAGTTATTACTTTTACTGCTGAGGTGAAAGGAAAGCTGCGCATCAATTGGTTGCTAAAGAGCTCAGTTTTCATTTCCTATACTGCTGAGGTAAAATGAAAGCTAGGCTGTGAGTGGTTGCTTCAGGCATCACAGATTCCCAGACTGATAGCTTTACGCTAAATACATCAGTGTATTCAAATGCCACGTTGTGCCTAAACTATGAAAACACATGTGTATATTGGAATGCGATGTTGTGGCGAAATGTCAAGTCAATCGACTGACTACTTTTTGAGTTTTGCAAGCACAAATATACGCAGGCTGAGATTTTGGGTATCCTTGTGGAAAGAAAAAGTGGGGTGTACATATTAAT